ATGAGTGAGTCATTGAATCATTCATTCAAGTGATTTGTTCAAATACACTGATTCATCCAGTAATGAATGAAACAAGTGAAGTATTTATGAGTGAGTCATTGAATCATTCATTCAAGAGGTTTGTTTAAATACGCTAATTCATCCCGTAATGAAACAAGTGAAGTATTTATGAGTGAGTCATTGAATCATTCATTCAAGAGATTTGTTTAAATACGCTAATTCATCCTGTAATGAAACAAGTGAAGTATTTATGAGTGAGTCATTGAATCATTCATTCAAGAGATTTGTTTAAATACGCTAATTCATCCTGTAATGAAACAAGTGAAGTATTTATGAGTGAGTCATTGAATCATTCATTCAAGAGATTTGTTTAAATACGCTAATTCATCCTGTAATGAAACAAGTGAAGTATTTATGAGTGAGTCATTGAATCATTCATTCAAGAGATTTGTTTAAATACGCTAATTCATCCTGTAATGAAACAAGTGAAGTATTTATGAGTGAGTCATTGAATCATTCATTCAAGAGATTTGTTCAAATACGCTGATTCATCCCATAATGAAACAAGTGAAGTATTTATGAGTGAGTCATTGAATCATTCATTCAAGAGATTTGTTCAAATACGCTGATTCATCCAGTAATGAAACAAGTGAAGTATTTATGAGTGAGTTATTGAATCATTCATTCAAACCACTTTTTCATACTTTTAATATAAAAAAATTGGTGTATTACAGTTTTTCTCGATTGGTGACACACTACAACTGATTTATTAGGCACAATTTTTTTCAGTTCAAAGACACATTTCACCCGAAGTTTGCACAAGTTGGTGTGTAGTTTTGAGATTGTGTTTATAGTTGTGAGAAAATGGTGAATTCTTCCATGAATTGAACTGTAAATATATTATATTATAAATATATATTAAAATGTTTAATAATTCATTCAAATTAATTAAACACTCTTAAATAGACTGCAGCAATAATATTTTGTCACACATTATTTTGTTTAGTTCATAATCGTGGGGCAATCATGATCTCTATTAGAGACGTGATTCTCAGTGTATCCAGAATCGTGCAGCTCTACTCTGATATGAGTGAAGCACTGGAGCGTTACTAATGTTTCCAGCTGGAGAACACAGTGTTGTGTAATGATCCGTAAAGATAAACGCAGCCAAACAATCGTACAAATAAAGGCTTTTCATTGGCATTTGTGGAACTACTAAAGATTCTTTAAAGTGAAAAAAGATTCTTTGGATTTTTAAATGTTCTTCATACTGAGAAATAAATGTTTTTTTTTTAAGAACTGATAACTGAAATTAAGATTATTTATTATTTTATAAATATTATTTATAAAATAATAAACAGTATTTTAATTATAAATAATTATATTATTTTTTTATTACAATTCTGAGAATTTTTGAGAACTGCAAGAAAAAAATTCTGAAATGCTGGTTATAAATTCGGAATTGTGAGAAAAAAAAGTCCAAATTGTGACGCATAAAATCAGAATTGTGAGAACAAAGTGTGAATTATTAGATATAAACTCTTTATATATCTTTAAAAAAATATTTCTTTTTTTTAACCAGTAACAGAAAAGTTTCCATCAAATACAATATATATATATATATATATATATAAGACATTTTAAAGTCTCTTTAAAAAAATTATTGTGACATATAAGCTTAGAATTGTGAAATTAAAAAATCACAATTACCTTTTTAATTTTTTTGGTGGAAACAAAAAAAAATTGCAATATATAAACTCTTATAAGAATATAAAAGCTTATAAGTACTAAGCAATTATACCTTTTTATTTTTGAATTCCATGCCAGAACCGAAGCTTTAATAACATTATATTATATTATTATCTGTGAGAGTGAAGGTAGATGGTGGATATTCTGACAAATCAGCATTTCAGCTCCGTTTGTTTGAAATGCTTTTCTGCAGTTATTTTGGCTCGCTCTCTGTTCTTCTCACAAATGAAGTTTGCTGCTCTGTGAATGTATTTGCTGGAGTTTGTGTGGCAGTAATGCAGATCTTCACTTCCTCGTGGAGGTTTTTCTGCTTTCATCTGGTGGCCTCATGCAGCTCCTGATCGCCGGCCAGAAATGTGTTTGCTGTTATCCAGCCATCAGCTTTATTTGCTCCAAGTGTCATTATATGCTATCCTTTCTATCCTCTAATGTTCATCTGATTCAAGTACCTTTTTATTTTTGAATTCCATGCCAGAACCGAAGCTTTAATAACATTATATTATATTATTATCTGTGAGAGTGAAGGTAGATGGTGGATATTCTGACAAATCAGCATTTCAGCTCCGTTTGTTTGAAATGCTTTTCTGCAGTTATTTTGGCTCGCTCTCTGTTCTTCTCACAAATGAAGTTTGCTGCTCTGTGAATGTATTTGCTGGAGTTTGTGTGGCAGTAATGCAGATCTTCACTTCCTCGTGGAGGTTTTTCTGCTTTCATCTGGTGGCCTCATGCAGCTCCTGATCGCCGGCCAGAAATGTGTTTGCTGTTATCCAGCCATCAGCTTTATTTGCTCCAAGTGTCATTATATGAAATCTGAAAATGAATTATAATAGCTGATCTCAGTCCAGCAGCGGCTCGTTCCCACATTCATTCAAGTGCTTTCTATCCTCTAATGTTCATCTGATTCAAGTGTCTGCTTCATTCTGCACTTAATTCTACACTCTTAAAAATAAAGGTGCTTCACAGCGATGCCATAGAAGAGACATTCAAATAACATCTCTTTCTTAGCTTTTTATAATCTGAAGAACCTTCTTTCACCACAAAAAACACCTTTTGTGAAACAGAAAGGTTAAAGGTTCTTTATGGATGCATTTAGACAAAAACGGTTCTTCTATGGCATCGTGAAGCACCTTTATTTTTAAGAGTGTATCATTTCTATCATTGAATTGTGATCATGTGATCTAAACATTGTGTACAACTCTTTAAAACCATGTATCAATACAGTGTTTACGTGTAGATCTTTTGACATTCATGTGTGTGTGTTTCTGGATAATTTGTGAATGAATCCTACATATATTCAGTTTCAGTGCGAACATATACTGAAAAGACAGTTGGGCAATTATTAGTTTGAAGGTCAGTTAAGTCTTGTGTCTTGTGAAAGGTCAGACCATTGATATTACCTGAGAAGCTAAAGTAAATAGACTAGAAAACATACGAGCACAGTTCAGCTTTAACTTGATGTTGTTCTGCTGTTTTGTGTTCATCTGCTGTTTTTACAGTACATTGACTATCACTGTATATTAGACTAACACAATCACATACAGCAATACATAATACAATCACAGTTTAGAGCCAGATTTGTGTTTCTGTGTGTGAAATTTAGCTGGCTGGAAACACAGCTTCATTAAGTTGGTTAAGGTGTTGCTGATTTTCTGAGTGGTTGGTTGCTGGGATATTATTGATAGATTATGGATTTGGAAAGAACGGATTTACATGTGTGTACAGTCAGTGTTGGGAAGTAACTAGTTACATGTAACCAGTGTTGGGGGTAATGCATTACAAGTAACGCGAGTTACGTAATCAGATTACTTTTTTCAAGTAACTAGTAAAGTAACGCATTACTTTTTAATTTACAAGACATGTAACTAAATTACGTAATTTAATTACAAAATAAATGTAATTGTAATCAGTTACAGTTACTGAGAAAAACTGTGTAATTAAATTACAGTTATGTATGAAAATGTTAACGATTACAAACAGGGTTACATCTGATTTTTTTTCACACACCCACACACACACACACACACACACACACACACAGATTGAATTGATTTCTTTCATAAATTGCAGTGACTGCTCTAAAATATGAGACACCAGGAGTTTAGTACACATGCTTATTTGATAACTGTTTTATTTCCTATATATGGGTTTATGTATATGCTTAATTTTTTAAGATGAACTGTTTTTTCCAAGGCATTGTTAGATGCCAGTGTTTCCAGTCATCCTGTATCATAGCTATTAAACTATATCTTGTGATGAATTTAAATCAGTATTTAACCTCAGAATGATTTCAAAGTATAAATCTGATTTTGTGGCAGCTGTGCTTTAAAATTCAATTATTATAATCTTAATTCAAGAGCTGAAGGATTTCGAAAGTGACAGAAATCAGTGTTGAGTAATACTGTAAGGTTAACCCTGCCTGGTTTACATGTTTGAAAATGATTAATAGTTGAAAACATTAGTAATCAAATGTAATCAATTACATCAATAAAGTAATTGAAATAGTTACACTACTTATTACATTTTAGATAACTTGTAATCCGTAACCTATTACATTTCCAAAGTAACCTCCCCAACACTGTCACTGGGTTTGACATTTCCAATGCAATATAACCTTCCTACCTGTCCAAAAACCTCTGGAGTGACTAAATGATGCACATGGACTGTCTGATCTGTGTGTGTTTGTGTGCTTTCTCACCTGGACACTGGACTGGTGCTGGATGAGCGTCGGTTGCCGTAAGGACTGCCAGGTGAGTGTTTTCTGCTCACATACGGGCTTCCATCCTTATCGGGGCTTGAGGACCTCCTCCTCCGATAAGGGCTCTCGGACCTAAACATTCATTAGAAATTTAGAAAAGTAATCAAAAAGTAATCAAATGTAATCAGTTACATTACTTTAATAAAATAATTGAAATAGTTACACTACTTGTCACATTTTAGACAGGGTAACTTATAATCTGTAACCTGTTACTTTTCCAAAGTAACCTTCCCAGCAGCACTGTGTAGAGTAATGAGCCGAATGAGCAGGTGTTGACGCTGTGTTTGCTGTGTCTGATCTGATCTGGTCAGGTTGTGTGAGGGCCTCGTCTCCTCGTCTGGCTCTAGAGAAGAGTCTTGTCTGGCCGTCCAAAGACACACAGTGTGTGCACCTGCTCAAACACCTGCAGAACGGGGCCCGCGTCACCGTCCAGATGCCACCCAACATCCAGGGACACTGGGTCTCCTCCGGGTGTGTGTGTGTGTG